CTCTCTCTCTCTCTCTCTCTCTCTCTCTCTCTCTCTCTCTCTCCACGCAAGGTGGGGGTTGTCCTCAGGGAATGTGGTCCCTGAAAGATGGACCCTGGCGAGGCAGACTGTGCTGTGGACCCGTGGAGATGCAGCGCAGGACAGGAACAGGCTTTGGGTGGGTGGGAAAGCAGCACATAGCATGGAAGTGTCACTCCGGACATGCTGCAGCACATCCACCTCCTGACTCAGCACCACATGGGGAAGGAGTGTAGGGCTGTTGTGTTAGCCCTGCTCCACCTGAGAGTGCCCAGTGCTGGGCGAGGCGGAGGTCTTCCTCAAAGCCTCTTTAGGGCATCTGGGCAGAAACTAGATGGTGGCTAAATTGTTCTGCAGCAACCCCATGATTAGGCCACATCATATTTAGCCTTGACTGTGTTCAGAAGCAGGAGCTGTGCATGTGTGGTCTAAACTAGCAGTTCTCAAACTGGCCTGGGTCTTGTGGCGCTTTTTGGGTGTTACCCTGCTGCAGATCCCTACTGATTCGTGTGAAGGACATTAAAAAACCCAACACTTTATGTCACAACAGCAATGTTGGAACTTCTCCAGCTGCCTGAGAGATACTGGAAAATTGGCCTACATTTTTGTTTCTTTTTCTTTCTTATATATCAGCATTTCCCCTTTCTCATCTAGTGGGCTCTTCCTCCTTCTCACATGCCTGTGGCAAGTTTGCTGCTTACTTCCAGTTTAAGAAACCCATCCCCCAGTTTAAGAAACACTGGTCTAAACCAGTCCTCCCAGCACATTTGCACCCAGGCATGATTTCTCATGGGATTTTATTAACCATGGTCCCACTGTTCCACAGAGTAGGACATTAAACCAAACTACAAAGCAGCAGGGGACAGGGCAGAGGACCATTGCCATAGCTACCATCTGTCTGGAGTTCAATGTAAATATACTAATGGCTGTGCTTAGCTCATGCAAGTTTTGGAACAGGGCACCACCCAGGGCAGTGGCCTGAACCCGGAGGCTCACAGCCTGGGAAGTGTTGGGGTCCAGTCTCCCAACAGGCATACTTCAGATGGCTGACTGCTCCTGCAGGAAGCTCTCTGCCCCCGGGAGGTTTCTTTCGGGCTCAGTGGCGAGAGCAGCCTCCCGAAGCACAGTCATGTGCTCTTCCGCTGCAGAAAGCGATCGGTCAATCCAGTCCATGCCGCTAGTCAGGTGACAGGCATTCCTGGTCACCAAGACGAGATGGCTGACAGAGAGCAGGAGGGCCGTTGTCCTGCAAAGAGAATGGCCTGGCTTTTACTGATGGCAATGGCCATGGGTGACTGGTGCCACCTTAATCAGAGGGGGCACATGCCCCCCCCCACGCGACCAGTCAGCAACCAGGGAGGGGGGAATCTAGCCAACCAGGGTGAGTGATCCCCAATTGCACCGACCAGGAAGCAGCCACAGTGCTCCCAGAAGTGGCCATGGCACTCCAGAAGTGGCCACGGTGCTCGCAGGGGGCACTGGCACTCTTGCCTGCACCTCTGCCCATTGCCTAAGTGGGGTGTGCGGCCTGTCAGGGGGTGCACCAGCACTCTCAGGGGGTGCACGTGCATTGCATTGCAACAGGCAACAGCATTACCCTTTTCCTGCACAGGAAGGCAGGAAGTGGGCAAGTGGCGTGAGGCGTGCATGCAACTTGGGAGTCCGCTGCCAGGCTCCCTACACACAGACCCAGCTGGGCTGCAGTGGAGAGTACCCAGTGGAAGATAAAGGCCTGGCACGGGTTACCTCCACATGAGTATGAGGAAGCAACTCCCTGGGAGCAGCTCTGGCTCCAGGCTCAGAGGGTTTCCATGCCAGCTCTCCACATATATCCATGGCCCAATATGTCTCCCAGGAAGGAAGCTCCTTCCCCAGCTATCACAAGAGTGATTTTACCTTGCATCCAGAAGCTTGGGATCCAGTGGAGGGTACATTGACCTCACAACATCATCCACCCTAGAGGGAAAGAGAGAGGTTTTCATGTTTTTCACTGTTTCCTTTGCAAGGTCTCTGTTAGGTGGCTGGGTTTATTTAATTTCCCCCGCCATGGACATGTTTCAAAGTTAAGCACATAGCCCATTTGATGCAAACACCTGCAAACATCTGCAATGCATTAAGGCACCAATCAGCAAAGGGCTTAGGGTGAGAACTGGAAAAGTTCTCAACATCTACAATTGGGACACAGTTTCCAGCAGATCCCAAC